AAATATGCAGTGATACAAACAAAGGCCCCTTGTTGATGTCCGCTTGTGTTTCCACAGGCTTCAGGACCTTGGACAGCACAATTCCAATCAATGTCCACATTTATCAGATGAGAGTGACAGTGGCCACTACAGATCACATGACCATGATCATGCTTTTAGGGTGAACCGCCAAGTTCAGGCCAAGTACCACCTTTGATGAAAGCAGAACATACAATTACCACCTAGTTACAATGCTTAAAATCGAGATGAAATAGAAATAGCAACAGAGCTTTTCTTCTGTAATAGACTATCATAAAAAATAAGTGCCTTTGTTGTTTTATTGGATTTTGAGATGTGCACTTAAAAGTGAGCTTGCAGGAGCAGGGTTTAAGCTGACTAAATGAAGTGCAGAAATTATTATTATATAACATTTAAAAAAAAACAAAAAAAAAAACATATAAAGGCAAAGATGTTATCTACATATTATATGAAAGACTGAGCCCTGTTATCAGATGAAAAAATATAATTTGAGTACCAAACCTTTTCTGTGTAAAGTTATATGCAATTTTACAAATTTGTTTCTGTGGCAGTGTAACACCATAAACCCTAAAACCCTAAAATGAATTTAAAAATGATAATTTAAACATATGAACAGATAAAAAAAATACACACATTTAACAGAAAAAAAATAATGTAGGTACTTTGATAAAAATATTAAGCTTCATATTTTTGCGTTTAAGTTCTCCAAAAATTAAAATAAAGGTTTAAAAAAAAAAAAACATGGGCACCGCAAATAAATATTTATGATTTTAATGTTGCTTGCAAATCAAACTGATTAAAACATGCTGTTTCAGAATGTATTATTATTATTTTTTACGTTTTATTTTGTTTACCAGCTGTTTACCATTGTCTACTATACATAAGTACTTCACTGTAACCTTGAGCAGCTACTCAAAATTATATTTTGTCATAACCAGTATTGTCACAAATGCTGTATGTCAGTCAGCTGAGCTTAACTTGTACTGAATTCAAAATATTTTTTTCAAAGCTTGACCTAAATAAATCAGTCAGTCAA